ACAGAGAAGTTCAAACCCCATTGACAACTCCTTTCTATACAAAGAACAGCAAATATGCCATTTTCATCCCAACCAATGTTACCCACACTATTCAGAGACCTTAAGGACCAGCACCAAATACCCTATATAATCATTCTATGACACCTTTAAGGTAGACTAACCACAGATAAAGTTAATCTGAAATAAATGGAGATTTATTTAACTAAGATGAACGTAACTTAGTAAATACAAACTTACCTAAAATAAACATACAAAGTAGTTGCATCTTCTGCAGGTAAAAAAAAATGTTAGTGTGGAATTAGCCTAATGGATTCAAGTAGACAAAACAAACACACAGTGTTCAGCATTTTTGTAGAAGCAGGATACCATGACAATGACCAAGGTTAAAAAGCTGATGTCAGATAAGTGTTTTAACACAAAAGAGACGTCAGTTAAAAAACTTTGCACCGAGATGAAATTGTGATGTGGGATTCGCTTTAATGTGCAATGTGGGCAAAGCTTCAAAGGCGCACACTGTCCATTTACTTTTACCTTTTTTTTTTTTTATTACATGGTAATTCAGGCACCACACCTGAAATAACTTTGCTGTTTAGACTTTGCAAATCTGCCCGTAGACGAAGACAGGAATGACGTCCGAAGGCATTTCACAACATGTTTGTAAGGATGTGCTAAATGAGCGACATCTTATTGAGGGATAAAGTGTACTGAAGGTTTTGCAGTTTCATCCAAGGTCAGCATTTAAAAAAAATTTAAAAAAATAAGAAATAAAAGAAAGTTTAAGAAACCAACATTGTGTCTCAGAGCTCCTGGTGAGCCAAAGGCTTATCTGAAATGTTTGTTCTATTGTGTGGTTTGTAATTGTGAAAGGCTGATTTAACCCAATGAAAGAAAACAAGCTCTATATAAAAGTTGTTATCTACTGTAACAGTGAATATAGCAATTGATTCAAATGCAAACTTTTTTGTCTTAAAGCTCAAAAGAAAGGTCAATTTTCTTTAAAAATACATAATTTTCTATTGGAATAAGAGACTATCTAAAATTTTAAAGCTCATGAAATCTGTTTTTGTGACACTTGAGTTTTTTTTAAGCTTTGCTAGATGGAATTTATACAGTTTACTTAGATCAAGCAGCAGGAGAAATGTCTCCATCCTTAAGGGAACAGCTAATCCCTCAGAATATTACAAAAGATCTGACTCAACAAGTGAAAGAAGGTCTGATTTTTACCAGACAAAGGGCGACTTAACAAAGATTGTCAATATGAATCATAATAATATCTGAGCTGTGGCAAAGGATCAAGTCTTAAAATTGGAATGTAGGTTTTTAAATTAATAAAACATGATATGCTTCAAAACACACCAGTGCAGAATACCTTTTAAAATATAAAACATATGATATTAGTACTAAATGACCGTTAAAAATTGTATTGTGCAAATCGTTGTGCTTTATAGTCAGCTGATCTTGGCAGGGTTCTCTTAATTCAGATATAAAAAGGTGAAGGTGTTATGATTTAGGGGTGCTTTACTGCAGCAGCACCTGAGAAGCTCACATTATAGAGTCCTCCATTAATTACACTATGTATCCGAGGGTTGTCAATGAAAATGTGGAAAATATACAAAAAAAGCTGCAGGAGTATCGGACCCTAAATATACAAATGATCCAAAACATGTCTGCCAAGGATTGCCTGAAAATTAAGAAATGCAAAGCACTTGATTGGTTCAAAGTATGGATCTTAAAATCGCAGGGAAGCAAAGCGACAGTTCCAACGGTTGCAGTTCTGAATTCTCCCAAGTGGTGCCTGACTTTACACGAGTATATAAAGTGAATGTGATTGGTTGATTATCAAGAGGCCGGGATTGTTGTGGCGGAAAGTTTGCAAGCGAGTTTGGTTGTGGCTGGTGTCTCGGAAGCATCTTGCTAACCAGTTAGCAACTTAGTGCTAGTACGGTAGGTTCCCAATGGGAAATTACATTGGGACCAAGTAGCACTAAATTTCTGACTAACAAAAAAAACACTGTCAAGGAATGCTATGGACAGTGGAAACGTGCAAGAGAAGGAGAGTTTTGTGTCTGAGGTCATAGATGAGTCTCCGACATTTTTTATTCAGAGGAGGAAAGCGTGGACGAAGTTGTTGTGGAAGAGGACGCCAGGGCGGCAGAAGCTTTGTTTGGTGTACTAGAAGGCTTACAGCCGTACGTTTGAGAAGCTCCCTCACAACGCTGCCTGTTCTGTTAGCCCTACGCCTACTGAAGACACAGACGTCCATCCCCGTGAACACTGGGACGGAACTCAATGGTAAAGTAAATTGATTCTTATTTCTTTTTTCAACCATTGCATATATTAGCAGCGAAATATGAATCAAGATGCTATGATCGAAAAAATTTGATTGACAGATGACCGTTGATATATGATTGGCCAAATTTAGGTGTACAAGCTGACATATAACTAATTGGCCTGCATAAGATAACAAAAAAAAAACACACACAGATTTTAGGACAGTGTTTTTTTTAAAATAGAAATTTTCTAACTTTTGGGACAATATGGGCTGATAAAGAGTACATTTATATAAATTTTTAAGCCAGAATGATTTGACATTTAAATATAACTTCCCTACGACTTTAATCTCATTGAGATACTTTGTAGATGAAGACAGACATCTCACTACTGAGGACCGATAGATTGCTTTATGTGTCATTGCAGCCTGCTTCTGTTGGGTGGTGTTTGAGCTGGCTGCTTATCCCTTTCTGCCTGGTTCCACTCAGAGTGGACCAGATGCACCTGCCTCTTCAAATCGCCCTCATTCCTCCCAGCTGTTACTCTGCCTGTTAATACCCGCCTCTCAGTCATTCTTCTCCAGATTATCTTCTTGCCTGAATGAGGTTCTTTCCGGTTCCGATCTAGACTGTCTCTGTCTGTCTCCACTCTGTTCAGTCATCCTCTGCCTTCTCATGCCCGCCATCAGTCTGTTCATCATCCACCTCTCTACCCTGCTTACAGCGTGTTCAACTTTCCACAAGCATGCAATAAACATTTTAAGTGCAATTGCCCGTCTTGCGAAATATCGCATTCTCTTAAGCCTCTTGTAATAATAAGACAAAAAAAAAAACAGTTCGTTGAAATTCTTTCCCCCATGGGTGAAACTTTTTTATTAGTTGAAATGCACATTTCTCTTGCTATTTTTAATGATTTGTTAATATACATGTCTCATTTATTTTTACCTTCAGTCAAATTATAGAATTTCCTGGTGATATATAAACAGTAATTAAAGCAGTTGTTGGACCATTTAATAAACTTTCTTTTGGATGTCCCAGTGTCTTTCTGAGTCGAAGAATATGTTAAAAAATCAAAACAAAACAAAAAGAATCCTCTTTTCTTATGTGCAGTCTACACATCATTTCACGGCTACACATTCATTAGAGTTTTTACTTCCAACTGGTTAAGTAGGTCTTCTTATTTACTCCCTCCCAAGCAACTCCAGAGATACTGAGTTCTGTGACCCTGACCTATCCTCCTCCCACATTCAGTTACCATAAGTATATTTGTTTGTATAAATACTATGTAAGTCCCTTTAATGTCGGAGGGGAAAATTCCTTTTTTTTGTCCTCCATGCTTAGAAGATGTACAGCTCAAAAAAATAAATAAAATAAAATAAAGAAAGTGTCTTTGAACCAATCGTTTGGCTCCAAGTCGAAGTTAACAGGCCAGAGGAGATCAGTAAAACTAGGCACTCAAGGCTGAGAGCTGTGGCAGACCAAGCTGCTCTTTTTCACAGAAAATAAACAGCTTGTATAACCAGTGAGGCTCTGTTTCTGTTTCTATTCTTCAGGATATAAGAAGCTTATTGTTTAAAACTAGTTCTGAAATGCTGATCTCCCCCTTTTCTCCTTAAATAACCATTTTGAATTAAAAGACAAAATGAGCAAATAAATCTTTTGGCGCCTGAGATAAATCAACTTTTAATAAAATTTCAAATGATATAATCTTTAATAACATTATAATCATTTAATTCATTTTTCATAACGTTTCATCATTACAATAGCACTAGTTTCTAGAACCGAAGAAATGGACCAGCCAGTTTGTTGCTGTGTCTTCCTTGTTTTTGTGTTTATTTTATATCAGATTATGTTCTATCAGGTCTTCGTGTTTTTTTCTTATAATTATTCTGTGAACTTTGGTTTTCCTTGTAAAAAGGGTCACAACATCATCTCAATAATTATCATTGTAAGGCTAACAATTACTCCTTTTAATTTCTCATAAAGATTCTTCACTTGTAAGGAGATAATTAATCCTTATGACAACATTTTGTACAATTTGAATATGGTAATGGCGATAATGGTTTATTCCTACAGACGCCATTAACATATTTGTTGTGTAAAAGGCAAAAAATATATATATAAAATTTAAAGACACTACAGATGTTTAAAGAAATGTTCTCACATCAAATAAATCAATATATATCAAAAATGATAATACATTCAATCACTGCAGTAATTTGGTTGTGTTACATCATAAGTAATACATAGAATAATAATTAATTAACATGTCAGCTGAATGTTTTACCATCAGATGCTCCAATTATGATTAAGAACCACTTATTATTTTTTATTAGTAACTACTATGGCTATCACCCCCATCAACTATATTAGAAAGATTTTCAATCAGAGAGCTTTGCTTCCTGCAGTAACCTGAGGTTTCAATAACAAATATGGCAAGCATAGATGTAATTCTTTAATTAACTGTACTGAACGGTCTCAGAATGTTATGAAAAAAAAAAACAAAACAAAAAAACATGAAAAGTGACTTTTTGTATAGACCCAGTTTTATTGGATCATGCTTATGCCAAGTAACACAAAACAAGAGCTCATTCCAGGAAAGCTCAGTTTACTTTCTCTCACATGAATCAACAATTGCCTCAGAATCAGCTTAGGTCTTTCTTGATTTGAACCACTTGATGTGTGCTGGTATTTTCTAATTAAATCAAAAACTACTATAACAACCCAGAGTTTTTGGATTTTGTCATTTTTATTGGATGTAGGAAAAATAAATGTACATTTAGAGTGCAGATACAAAATTAGGTATGTCTATTGTATACATGAATATATAAAAAAGAAAAATCAGCTTATTACTAAGGTGTTTCTTTTTTTTTGGTCACAGACACTTACATTTTAAAGCTGCCAAAGAGTGGCTCAATCTTAGCAGGCTATACAACTGAAAAGTCTCATATCAATGGCTCATAAAAGATGTTGATACTGGCTATAGTTTTCAGGATACAGTATGTTTGTGGTATAAAAGACTGCGCACATGATTTACATTCTCTCTCAATAAAAGGAGATACAATAACAACTGAAACACAATCCATGTGAGTAAAGATGATGAACGAAGCCTGACAGGAAGGTTAGACGACCCCTTTTCTCTATCCTCTTCCGTCTCACTTTTAAGTAGCCTGCAAAGACACATGTTTTAAAATGATGAATGGCTGAAAACGTCAGTGAGGCTTTTTTAGTATTTAACTTCAATACATGTTGTTTTTCTTACCCTTCTGCTGTTTTTTCTATCCAGAAAGCCTGTTTGTTCCTTCACCCAGCTGTCCTTTGGATTGGCACAGATAGTGCGCTTCTTTTTTGTCAAAAACCTACGTATAGTAAAAACATTTTACACCAATTTTACTTGCATGCATTTTACTGCTTGGATCTACAGCTGAACTAATACATATGCTCATTATACATTTTATTGCTTTTTTAACCAAAGGCTGCCAATTCCATCCATGCAACTACACAAAAGGCTGCTGAGGCAGTAAAGAGCAGGACATAACTTTGATACTCACACAACTGCTCTGATGTTGCAATCGCCATCTGTTTCCTGTATCCTGTAGCTCTCAATGTTCTTTTTCATCCGTTTTCCAATCCCGGTAACATAGCCAAGGCAGCAGTTATCATAAGAGCCTGAAAGAGAGGAGAAATCAAGAAAGATACAAAAAGTTAAGACATTTGTTTAAGATATGGTCACTCTTTAGCAGTTACCTTCAGAAGCATTTCTGAATGTATTTAAGGTTTTACCAATTTTCTTCATCAGTTGGTAAATTAGTCTTTTGAAAATCTCTATAAACTTTATTCCTGTTTTGCCACGGGCAGAGCCTATTAAAACATTGGGACGCCGAGCCAACATAATCCAAGAATGTCCCTCCACAGATCCCTCATGCACTTACAAAATGTGTTTGATTAAGAAACAATATAAGTAAGTATTGTAAAAGTGTTAATTCTGATTAGTTTATATAAATGTTAGAAAACAAAATCATCAATATTTATAATTTTCCCATGTTCTGTGTGTGCAGCAAAGCTTTTCAATCCATTAATTGACCAAGGGAGGAAAAAAGGGAAAAGAGAAATCTGTGTTACAACAAATAGAACCACTAATTATACCCTAGCAGCAATTTTAGCAGCATTACTTGATTTTTTACATTCTAAAATAACTGCTTAATCAAACAAATATGTTTTTCATGTGTGTGAAGCTCACTGCTCTGTTTTGACAATGTCAGATAAAAAGCAACAAGCCATGCATAGCATGCCTGAATGCGTCTGCATCCAGTTTAAATAAATTTAGTGCCCTAATGTTTTATCTGAAATGCAAGAAAACATTAAACAAGAGGTTTCTTGCATATCTGTCGATAAGAAAGTTATTGTGGAAAGCAAATACATCAGTCATTCAATCCAAACAGTTTTTCCTTCGGCATTTAACCTATCTGTCATCACTAACAAATGATCTATACTTGACGAGTCCCGACAGATACATACTTTGTGTGCAGCGGTTAAAGCCTTTGAAAAATTTGATGACCTATTTTAGAAAGGCAAGTGTTTTTTTCTTCTTGTGATTTGCAAAATCAGCTCATGAAGATTCAACATTTGAATAAACCAAGATTTCCAATTTCTTTGTGCCTCTTTATGACAAAACAAGACATATACTGTTTACATTTGTGGTAAAATGTATGTTCTATGCTGATTCCCCAAAAAATTTTTACATAATTTGGAGGCAGTTAGCCTTAAATAACTCTATATCACTCACTCACCTTGTGCCACACTTAGGTACATGCAGGTGAAAAACAGAAGGATGACAAGAACGTGGAGTTTCATGGTTGCTGCGCTCCTCACTGTTTCTGCTTGTTTGCTGGACAAACATAAAGAACATTAACAAATCAGAAAGTAGAGCAAAATTTAAAAAAAATGCAAACAAAGTCTCTCACTCCCTCCCTCGATTATTTAATATCAAAACAAATAACTACTTTCAAAAGCTCCCCACTGCTTTCCGCCTCTGCATGAAACATGTTCTGACCTCTGATGAGCATATCTAATTTGTCTGGTATCCAGCTGTGTCCAGCTGCTCTATCTCCAGAACACAGAATGTTGCTTACGGGAATCAAGCGAGATCATAAAAATTTACAGCTAGAAATCCCTCTCATCATTTATCCATTGCACATAATTTATCTCATTATAAAAAAAAAATCTTTGCAGAACCAAGAGAATCTGAGAATAAAAAAACTCACATGCTCACATTCAGGATCCCCCACGATGTCTTCACAGGAAAAACTTTTGCTCTGATCCAGTTTGCGTGGAGTCTGTATTCTTATAGCCTGCCTTCCCCCTTGCTAAGTCTTTACCACACCTCCTTCACAGATGCCATCCATAGATCTGCAGCTTGATATTTGCTCATGTGTGCTTCCACAAAATGAGTCATGTTATGACAATGAGGCGTGTTATCACACAAAGATAAAGATCAACACCCACCTGACACCTCTTATACAACAATAGGAATTTCTGTAGTTTTGAATTGGATATCAGTGTTGTGGAATTGGGCAGTGCTTTAAAGACAATGCTGTGACTTAGTAATTCCAAACTCTAGAATCAATATATTATTTAAATTGAAGAAAAGTGTAAACCACAAAAACATTATCGACTTATCCAGGAGGTTTCCAAAAAATATTTCAAGAACCAAAGACCTCACTTTTTTCAGTTGTAGAGAAAAGTTAGCTAGAATGGCACCTACAGGATAATTACTGAGGGAAACTCTGAGCTGACAAAAAAGACACAAGGGACAATCTCATATTTGCAAAAAGAAAAGAGACAACAAGCGAACATAAACCTCCTTTAAATATTTCTTGCAATAACTTATGGCAACGAAATAAAAGAGCACACTCTCTTGCAGAAAAGCAGCAATTATAAAATGTTATGGTCATGAAGAAATGGATGTCTTTGGTGCTCAGACCCCGGCAGGAGACATCAGTGTTGAATTCAGCTGATTTGTGTAAGCAGGAAGATGTAGGTCAGAAATATTGTTCCCTAAAAAGAGGGTGCTGAGGTGGAGGTTGGGGCTAACAAGGAGACAGTAGTAGGATGTTGGACATGGGGGAAGACAAAAGTTAGTAATCTCACCACGAAGGTCGTGAGAGACCTGTGGAGGCATGGAGGGAGCTAAATCATCCCTGTGAAAGGCTGTATGCAAAAAGCAGGGGAAGACAACAGTGATTGCCTATGAAAGGTGAGATGAGGACAAAACCGAAATACCCTGCAAGAGGCGTGAGAAGAGGATAAACATAGACTGCCTATTAGGGATGGGAATCGAAAACCGGTTCTGTTCAGAACCGGTTCCGTATTTTCCGATTCCATGGCATCGTTTGGCAGCTCGCTGAACGATTCTTTTTTCGATTCCCGCAGCACCAGAGCCTAGAGCGTCGGCTCTGGGGAGCACGACTTACGTCACGTTTTTTACGTAAGTTACGCAAGTTACGCAAGTTGGAAGAACTATTCGAGGAGGAAGACAACGAGCTGCGGTCACTTTGTGAATTAAAGCCCCGTCTTTCCTTAGCCCAGAGGGTAGATCAGGAAATCCAGCTCTGTAAAAGATTGCCCTCCATCCCCTGCAGGGATAGCGCCACACTGTGGTGGTGGAACAAGCAAGATACGCTGCCCTTGCTATCTGGACTGGCTGAAAACTACCTCTGTGTGCAGGCTTCCTCCACCCCATCTGAGAGGGTGTTCTCCACGGCTGGAGACACCTTAAGCGCTGAAAGATCCTGTATCCTTCCAGAAAAAGCAGATATGCTCATCTTTCTGCAAAAGAACTGTTAATTTTCCCTACTACTGTTTTATAATTAGTATTTTTTGTTATTTAAAGTAGGTTATTATCCCATCATTTGTTATTAGACATTGTTGGTTATTAAGTTTGTTCTTGTATTCATTTAGCATTTAAACACAGATGTTACTCCAGTTTCACATTTCCTGTGGACATCTTGATCTTGTTGAGTTTGTAAGATTGTGCAATAGTTAAGTAAACAAAGTTGATGCTGATAATCAAACTTTTTGTTCTCCTTTTTTCCCCAAATTGGAATCGAAAAAAGAATCGATAAAGAATCGAATCGTTTCATAGAATCGAAAAGGGAATCGGAATCGTGAAAATCTTTTCAATTCCCAACCCTACTGCCTATGAAAGGTGGGATGAGAACCGAAAGTATAAGCCTGTGAAAAAATGCCTATAAAAATAAGATAAAGATGGGCTGTAATGCCTGGCAAAGGCTTATAGACTGCTGGCTTAAGCTGCCCGTAAAAAGTATGGGTAGTGATATGAACTTACCTATGACATCTGGCAAAGTGGTTGATTAGGCCTGATCTACAGTACGCTTGCAAAAGGCAGTTTTTAGAAGTTGAGAGGTCAATAGAAACTTAGCTGCCGGCGATAAATATGATAAATGAGAGTCAAGAAAAGTGTTAATTTTGTGGGCTATCTACGGCAGCCTGGAGAAGAATCGACTGAGGGATCTACGTCAGCATTTAAGTCAGTATGGCTACTAGTTTTATGATTGATTGCTCAAAATATACTTGATCAGTCTGCTGAAAAATGTTCATGAGATGAATTCAACCTGGTTGGTGAAGTTGTCGCATATTAGATATGGGAAGTAAAAATAAATTTCTTTTAGGGCGCATACACATTCTGGATCCCAGAAGTATTACAATAATAACAGACACGAATTATTTAAAGTGAAAGAAATCAATAACGATTTAACAATTTAAAGAACTTAGAGCACCACCACTCTTTGATAACACATTGTCCTGTATTTGGACAGCAAATCCCTCATAGTTTTCTCTGGCTGTATTAATTATCTAAGTTTGATGCATCAGAGCAACAATGGATTGTAGGATTAAAGCATCTGGCTAAAGGCTAAGTATGTAGAAAAGAGGGAACCAGACCACCAGAAAACCAGAAAATGAAATGATGATAGATGGATTTTGCTTGCAATAGAGTGAGACGGGCTGCATGCTGAAGGCTTAAACAGTCTGCATACAAAGGCCCCTTAGCCTGGTTCTGAAATCCTTACACTGGTAGACTGTAGCTGAAAGAATAAACTCTAAAATCCTTCTGTCTATAAATCACTGAATGGATCAGCACAATAATACATTACAGATTTCTTGTGAATGTATTGCCCTCTCAGACCACTCAGGTCTTCTAGTTCAAGCCTATTCTGTACAACCAGGACCAGAACAAAATATGGAGAAGCAGCATTAAGCTCCTTTGCTCCAATTATTTTCAACAAAATCCCAGAAGACTGTAAACGTTCTTTTAAGTAAAATTTAAAATCAGTTGGTTTAAAACTGCCTTTCACTGTTAAGGTACAATCACACCAAATGCTGTGTCTATTAACCTGACAACAGCCAGATGCATGTCTCACTCCGCCCAGCTCCACTCACATACATCTGGGAACCCGCTCATTGAAAGTGATTTCCCCAACCGAATTTATGGTCTGGCCAATCAGGACGCAGGGCGGGTGTGTCCTGGAGTGGAGAGGCGACGATTCCAACAACAATGACGGCTCGCATTGAGGAAGCAAGCGTTAGCATTGATGCTGCTAATTCTTCTGTGTTGTCCAATCTATCTGATATTGTTTCATCAAAAGAACATCAGAGAACGGCTTTGAAGGCTTTTGTTGGTGGAAACGATGTTTTCGCCCTTCTCCCGACCGGATTTGGCAAGAGCTTGATCTACCAAATGGCTCCTCCTCTCACAGCGTCACGGGTTAGCTTCGGTGTGAGTGGTTGAAATAGCACGTCAATAAAGATGACAGACAAGTGGCTTATCCAATCATATGCAAAGAGTTTTGATAAGGCCCAGCCTTCAGTAAAGGCAATTCCTATGGCGGGTTCCCAGATGTATGTGAGTGGAGCTAGGCGGAGCGAGACATGCATCTGGCTGTTGTCAGGTTAGTGTCTATGGCAAAGGTTTTGGATTCACATGGTATCGCTATGCAAACCCTGCAAACATTGATGGTGAAGCAGCAAGCGATGAGTTCCATTTGGTTAGAGTTTGGTTAGAAAAATCAGAACTTTTCTGTGATATCGTGCTGCAGCAGCCAATCAGGGACTGGTTGTGGCTGTGACTTAGGATGGAGGAGTGCAGCCATGACAAAGCTTTTTTTTTTGTCAGAATGGATTACAGAGAAAATCATGTTGACAAAGGATGGTATAAGGAATGCTCTTAAGAGGTTTTAGGTGGGTTTTTAAAAAGCCATTTCAATTCAGCTCTAGAGGGACTGACCTTTTGGTCCAGTGCAGACCCTGGCCAGCCGCTGCTTCTCCCCAGTACTGATTTCTCTACCCAGATAGATACAAGGTAGTACAGCAGAACCTGACGTTAACCAGACACAGCTCTTGTACTGTAGTTGGTGGCAGTACTTTCCAAGAAGGTTTCGTCTCTGGAGAATTTTGTGGACCCATGGAGTTGAAGTAGTAGCTAAAGCTCCTCCTATGGTGGTAGCAGACATTCAAAATGGCCCATCCCAGTCAAAAGCCAACCGATTGGCATCCTACTCCCTTGTGACTCCCAGCAGAATTCGCTCCAACTTCCACTGGCCTTCTCCTGGGCATGCATTTTGTTTAGTCTGACTCCACCCTTACACTGAATTACAGGGTCTGACCAGGAGATGATATTTCTCTTCAGATCTTAATGCCACAAATCATGACAGAAATAATATTTTACCACAAAGATCGACGTTTAAAAAGGGGACCAGCCAAGGGCCCATCAAGGAAAGTGGGAAAATTTTGAATGGCTACTACTGTATGTGATGACATGTCTGTGGTGAGCACGATCAAGCCAGTTTGGTTCTCAAATTCAGGGTGGTGAACTTCTTACGTTACTTGCAGAAATGACCAAGAACTTTGCATAATTTGCATGTTTTATTTTCATATTTTATTTACTCCTAGTTAATTATTCTGGTTTGCCATGCAAAAGGAGGGTTTGTCAGTTCAAGTTCCGGCTCCGGCTTTCAGTGTATTAATTTGTGTCCACAAAAATTAATCTTGGCAATGTTCGGATCTTTCTCCTGTGCTTGGTCCATGTCTGTTTTGGTCAGACTCTCCAAAACTTGGGGATGAATCAAGGTAAGGTGAGCAATGTTCTAGAGCTCAGATAGCAGCAGTGGGAAGTCAGTGCGAGAACACCGGAGAGAGCTCCATACCCGAGAGGAAGAGCTAAGAAACCACAGAACCAGCTCAGGAGGAGAGTGGAGGAGCACAGCGGTGGATCGCAGAAGCCTTCTGCTGCACTCTGACCATGAGATGTTGCTATAAATTACACACTGTAGCTTTAAAATTAATACACTGAAAAAAAAATAGAGGTTGACAGAACTTAAATTTTCTAGGCAACGTGATGCATTTG